GTCACAAATACCAGTTGAAGTATCACGACATCTGGCTGTCACAAAATACCCACGTTGAAGTATCACGACATAATGGCTGTCACAAAATACCCAGTTGAAGTATCACGACATAATGGTTGTCACAAAATACCCAGTTGAAGTATCACGACATCCTGGCTGTCACAAAATACCCAGTTGAAGTATCACGACATCCTGGCTGTCACAAAATACCCAGTTGAAGTATCACGACATAATGGCTGTCACAAAATACCCAGTTGAGGTATCACGACATAATGGTTGTCAAAAAATATCCAGTTGAAGGAACACAACATACTGGTTGTCACAAAACACCCAGTTGAAGTAACACAAGATACCGGTTGTCACAAAATACCCAGTTGAAGTAACACAACATACCGGTTGTCACAAAATACCCAATGAAGTAACACAACATACTAGTTGTCACAAAACACCCAGTTGAAGTAACACAACATCCTGGCTGTCACAAAATACCCAGTTGAAGTATCACGACATCCTGGCTGTCACAAAATACCCAGTTGAAGTATCACGACATAATGGTTGTCACAAAATACCCAGATGAAGTAACAAAACATACTGGTTGTCACAAAACACCCAGTTGAAGGAACACAACATACTGGTTGTCACAAAATACCCAGTTGAAGGAACAAAACATCCAGTTGAAGTAACAAAACACCCAGTTGAAGTAACAAAATACCAGTTGAAGTAACAAAATACCCAGTTGAAGTAACACAACATACCCAGTTGAAGTAACAAAACACCCAGTTGAAGTAACACAACACCCAGTTGAAGTAACACAACATCCAGTTGAAGTAACACAACACCCAGTTGAAGTAACAAAACACACAGTTGAAGTAACACAACATCCAGTTGAAGTAACACAACATCCAGTTGAAGTAACACAACATCCAGTTGAAGTAACACAACACCCAGTTGAAGTAACACAACATCCAAGGTTGATAGTTTCAAACATTTGATTCATTCTTACTTGATCCATGTCGTCAATTTTTATATTCGGAAATTAAATCTTGATGTAATATTGAGTATAAAAATAATATGTAAGCCATAAAAAAAAATTATTACCCCATTTTTTTCAACCTTTCATAAAAACTTGGGTGTTGATATTTTGGATTCAGGCTTTAAAAAAATTGACTTCAAAACACCAGTTAATAAATCAGTAAAAATATAATTAAATTTAATAATTTCAAATACGAAATCATGTTTATGGTTATTTTCACAATTCTTCAATTAAAATGATTATTTGTTGATATTAAAAAAAGCGAAGATATTAAATTTTGAATAATTAAGCAAAATAATTATCTAAGATACAAACATTTCATTGTTTCAGGTTCCAGAATGTCTCTTCACAAAATGATGTATGGCGGGGGACCGTTTTTTCGGCGGACGTTTACAAACGTGACGCCAGATGGCGTTAACTCAAACTCAAATCAAGCACAGGTAACCGATTTATATCCTCTGGAGATGTACAGTGGTAGCAGTCAATTTCCAACAGGTGGCGCTGTAAACGAGAAGGAAATGCTGGCGTTGGGATACAAGATGACTATTCCGAGGTAAAAGCAACATATTTTGTGGTAGGAAAATGTGAAAAAACAAACAAAACAGTTTCGTTGAGATTATGAGTAAAAGTGTAAAATATTGTTTAAAAGGTTTTCTTTATTTAAAAATATCATAAACAATTTCGTGATTAGTAAAGCTAACATGTGCTGTAACCTGTCGGAGACAATAGACACTAATATGACATTGATATGAATTGCTTCTGCTATTAAACTTACCATCTAATCTACAGCGTGACGTAGATAAGGAAAGCCTAGGACGTTGAACACTGGTTTTCTATTCGTAGACTTGATTTACATTATCTTCTAGCAAACTGACACATAGTTTTAAATCTCTGACTTACGTTATCTCTCCTTGATGGAACTGATACATAGTTTTAAATCTCTGACTTACGTTATCTCTCCTTGATGGAACTGATACATAGTTTTAAATCTCTGCCTTACGTTATCTCTCCTTGGTAAAACTGACACATAGTTTTAAATCTCTGCCTTACGTTGTTTCTTCTTGATGGAACTGATACATAGTTTTAAATTTCTGCCTTACGTTATTTCTCTTGATGGAACTGATACATAGTTTTAAATCTCTGCCTTACGTTATCTCTCCTTGGTGAAACTGATACATAGTTTTAAATCTCTGCCTTACGTTATTTCTTCTTGATGGAACTGATACATAGTTTTAAATTTCTGCGTTACGTTATCTCTCCTTGATGGAACTGATACATAGTTTTAAATCTCTGCCTTACGTTATTTCTTCTTGATGGAACTGATACATAGTTCTAAATCTCTGCCTTACGTTGTTTCTTCTTGATGGAACTGATACATAGTTTTAAATTTCTGCCTTACGTTATTTCTTCTTGATGGAACTGATACATAGTTCTAAATCTCTGCCTTA